TAACCCAGTGATCTAAAGGGATGCGTAGTCATTTTCTGTGTTTAAGAAGTTAGTTGGTATCTTCAGATTGTGATCCTAATGATGCTTATAATTTAATTTATTCTTCTAAAAGTTGCCTAATATTTTGGCAATTTTTATAGCTTTTACTTTATAGAGTAATTTGAAGCTATTGTTTTATATTCCAAATTCAATAAAACTAACAATTCATGAAATTTTTCTGAATAGAATTGTTTTCAAAAGGAAAAATAAAATAAAAAACTCTAAACATAAACTTAGTGAACTATTCTTTGAATATTAAAAATAAATAAATCTGTGTTTGAACTACTTGGAGTTGTTAATTGAATGTGTTGTTTTAAGCCTCTTTAATCATTTTTAAATCATTTTTAAATAAACAATTCGCTATCTTAAATGAGCAAGTCCTATAACTGAGCCTTTGCTCAGAGCTCTACCCTGAATTAAATATCCTAGAAATGTTGGAGCCATGGTAGAAAAATACGCTGTGAGCCCAGAGCCTACTAATAGTCTCCTAACTTAAGAAAAGAATTTTTGAATAACATTTTCAAGAATATAGACAAATACTCTTGGGAAAAATTCTTCTTAATACATAGACTTTTAACTTTACAGGAGCTATTTTATTAAAACTTTTAAACAAGGAAGAAAGACTAGAATTTACAGTCTTGCTAATAACATACTCCAAAAATATGTTTTGAAAGTGAATACCTATATAGGCATTCATAGATAAATAAACAGCTGCTGTTTACAAAAATTCTGTTTAAACACTAGAGAATACATTTCTTATTTCATCTAAATGAGACATGATTTGACTTCAAATGGATTATTCTGGAAGCAGAAATATTTGAATTCATTGTAATTCAGTAGGTTAAAGAGTGGAGCTAAAGGAATGAATTTGATCTCCATAGAAGATGGTGCTTCATAGTACAGTTAGTTTTGGAGGAAAAGACTAAACAGATTTTTTAATCCCCTTTCTAAATTCAACAAACAACACTTTAATTATAGAGTAACTCTATCATGACCCTACCCCAATAAGATGAGAAGCCAAAGTTAAATAAAAAATCTCCATGAATTGGAAACAGAAATGTCAATAAAGCAGTAAGGATCCATGTGCATGTTCATATTATACATATCTAGGGTTATGCTTACAGCTCTCCTGGTAGCACCTGAGATATTGCCTAAGGGCCAGAGGGCTTCTAAGACTTTTGAAAACCTTAAAATGTGTCCCATGGCTTGAGCTTACCTTAAACTAGCCTGGTAGCTCCCTCTACTAAAGGTTTCTTTGCTCTCAAGTAAGGCATCTTCTGTTTCATCTTTTCCTATTCAATACAACATGAGGGATTCCTTAGTGTATAGAATAAGTAGAACCATGTCAAAATAAATTTATTTACTATGTTTGCCTAGCATATCATTGCTACATCTGATGCTAAAACATTCTATTAACTTTATTGCGATAAATAAAACAGTGTTTGTACAGCACATTCTAACAAAAAATTTCAAAACACTCAGCAAGATAGTACTTTTTGAACTGTATGATAGAATACATGTTATCACCACAAAAATAGATATCTTATAGCATGAATTATAAAAAAACTTAGTGGAAGTGCATGAGAAGTGAAGAAAAAACCGATAGACTCACCAATTTAAAAAAAAATCTTTTCAAAATAAGTCACATGTGTTCAGTGTATACCGTTATATAGTTATACCCAGTTATAGACTATATACACAGTTATATCCAGTAGAGTGCAAAAATCAAGAAGTGATATGGTAGTGAAAATTTGGAGTGGTTAGTTAATGCAGATTGAGATAAACCACGAAATCCAAAAATTCAGATGGAAAAAGAGGTGTACTAGAGCCTCAAATATCTACATGTATCTACATTAGTGAAAATAAGCATGAAACATTTTAGTCATTGATTAATTCATTCAACCAATAAGAATATAGTGTCCTGCACAGAAAGCTCCTACTGTGTGCAGGACACTATAAGAAGCCTCCCCTACTTGCAAAGTGTGAGGGAAAAGAGAGGGGGTGGAGTTGAAAGTTCTTCCATAGAAGATGTGGGTTTTAGCTCTATGACTTGATCAAGTAATTGAATCTCTTTAGCTTCTGTTCTTTGCGTTATCATCTAAATAATGCCTCAAAGGGCTTTTAGTATAAGACAGTGTATACTAAAATGCATATAAACACATAAAGCATTACATATGTTAACTATTCCATATAATGTATAAGCATAATGAAAAAGGCACTTGCCCTTTATGTCCTCTTCATTAAGGGCTTGATCTCCTTGACTTTGCAAAGTAACTAGAGTGAAGTAAACTCCTTTCCTTTCCAACAATTCTTCATGAGTGCCCCTTTCCACTGCTGTACCATGTTCAAAACCAATAATGACGTCTGCAGCTCTGACCGTGGATAGGCGATGAGCAACTGAAACGATTGTATGCCCATGCTGAATCTGTAAGAATGTATAATGCACCATTAAATGAGACTAGAAGACAGAGCTGACATTGACCTTTCGATCACCTCAGAATCTCCAGGTAAGTCAGAGCCTTGGTCCCTGGGAAAATCCTTAAATAGGCTGTGCAGACTTTAGAAAAGGCCAGTACAGTTTTTCACGGCCATAAACATCATCACATGTTGGTCCAGTTGCTGCTATTACTTAGCAGCTAAAAACAAAAAAGGAAATTTTAAAAATCACAGTTTGTTAGACTTAACAAGATTTAATATTTGACACGTGTAACTTTTGGAAGTAAATCATAACTGTCTTCTGTTCAACTGTGAGNTATGATCTACAACAGCTAATGGAGGTTCGTGTACCAGGTAAGAAAGCTGTGACTTGGAACGTTGCCGGATGGAAGCTCTGTAAATAAACAAAAAGATGAAAGAGTCTGTAGATTGTGGGTTGGAACAGGACTCAACTGGTATCCAAATTTATAACACATGTGTAAAATAAACAGAAATGTTTGCCAGGACACGTGGTAACCAGATAAGGGAGCTTCCTATTGTAGTTAGACTTGACAGAGCTACTCTTAAGGTAGAACTAATCAGTATGGTTGTTCTGGGCCCCAAGCTAGACCCTGATTCAAAGTGTACCCCAGGAGGTACCCCAGGAGAAAGAGAAGAGGGGCAAAGTTGTCCCACTAGACCACCAAACAAAGATATGAGACTCAAATCCATCCAAACCCATATGACTCTAGTATTTACTATAATGGCAAAGGTCCATTGCCTTTACCTCCCTTCAGGTTGTAGGTTGTAGTTTGATCTCTCTCTCTCTCTGTCTCTGTCTCTCTCTCTCTCTCTCTCTGTCTCTGTCTCTCTCTCTCTCTCTCTCTGTCTCTCCTTCTCTCCCTACGTGTTGTTTACTTTATTTTTTATTTTATTTTATTTTTTAGCTGAGCCACCCTGCCACCTGTTGGCAGCTCAGCGGCAGCTCAGCTGGGGCAGGGAATCCAACCGGCAACACTGTTGCTCAGAGCTAGCACTCTTGAGTGAGCTCTTAACCAACTGGGCCATTTGGCCGGCCCTGTGATGTTTACTTTAAAGTAATGCCATCTGGATACAGATGGGCTAGTAGGAGGAAATAGGGCCCCTAGTGAGATTTTTCTCCAGGCTATGTATTGCCCCTAAAGGGATGCATTTAGTCAACAAATATCTTTTTGAAATATAATTTAGCTCGATTCATTCATTCATTCATTCTTCAGGAGGTTTATTGGGCACCTACAACATGCAAACCAATGCCAGGTCCTTTGGGGAATACAAAGACTGGTCAACCACAGACTTCTTTCTCAAGAAGCTTAAATCTTATAGAAGAGCAACACACTGAGGTGCCAAAAAAATGTATACACATGACTTGTAGTCATCTTTTGTTATCTGTATATATTGAGTATTACAATTTTAATACAGTTTTTTTCCTTTCTTAAAATGTGTTTACATTTTTTTTTTGGCACCCTCTGTATGTACCCAATTCTGATTTAAAGAAGGATGTGCTAAGTGCTATAAGGCACATTTGAATAAAGAGTGTGGAAGTTTAAAGGAAAAAGAAATGTATGACAATTGTTATTATGAAAAACTTCATGAAAGTGGTGGCTAAGGTAAGGTTCGAGTTTTTCCAGGCTAGAGGGAAAAGCATTTCTAATTGAGAGAACAGTGTAAACAGAAGTATGGAATGAGGAGAGAACAGGGAGAGATTATTACATATACTTAGTATAGAACAAATACAGGAAGTGATTGGTTCAGGTTGTTTTGTTTTGTTTTGTTTTGTTTTGTTTGTTTTTCTAAGATTTCTGGGAAGGAGACTCCTGCTCTAGGTTAAGCTTGAAAGTATGTAGCACTGGGAGCTGCTGGCAATTATGTTGAAACTTTTAAGGAAAGAAGCTTCCTGAAAAATGAAGTCAATGCTGGAGAAAAAAAAAAAATAGAGCTGAGCAGGGAAGAGTGAGAAACCTGGGCAAATCTTTAACACCCCAGCCTTGCCTGAAGCCAAAGCACCCTCCTCTGACTATTTAGTGACATAGACTGATTTCTCTCCCATTAAAGGTTAAACCAGGTTGAGTTAGGTTTTCATTCATTCTCAAATAGAGTCTTAAGCGATAAAGGCAATGCTGAAGACTTGAGAAAATTTACCTCTCGAAGCACTTAATCTGAAATAATATGGTGTAAAAAGAGAGATGTTAGAGATGAGGACACCTGCATCAACTGTCTTAGTGCAATCTAGATGGAACCACTCACAAGCCTCTATCATTTGTATCCAGATGAAATTAGACTAAAACAAATATCAGGGTGGTGACTGCCTACTATATATGCTCATCTAGCCTTCTTGAGAAGGCAGTAATACATCAACTTAATTACTATAATTTGTTCCCCATTCTGTTAATGGTACCACCATCCTCTTTGTCACCCAGGTTCAACAAGGCACATTTATCTCAAACCCTTCTTCTTCCTTGCTCTTGCACATTCAAACTCTTGCCAAACCTCATTATGACCAAGCATGAAACCGCTCCTCACCTTTACCCCTTGCTTCCAAAATGGCCTCTGGGACACCCTACTTCCCTCCCACCTGGCCTGAAGCTCTCCAGCAATAGAGTCATTTCTTTGGGTTAGGTCACTATGGTCAAGCTGTCTTCTCCAGAAGGTGTGAGGACTAGCCCTGTGTCACCTGGAGAGAGCAGAGTGTATGGTAGGGCTAAGACTTAAGGTCATGGGGTTAAAATGAAACTCAGAGCATTGGAAGCCATAGCAGGAGTTTGTGGAAAGGAGGAGGTGTCAAAATACTGACTACCTCCCAGTTCCGAGTATGGGAAGACCTATCTTGTCCCCTTAGATTTCTACTATTTTAATCTAACATCTCTTAAGTCTCTTTCTCTCTCTTCCTTCCCCAAACCATTCCATCTTTCTAGCATAGGCTGTCTCAATGAGACAGCTAGACACCCTACCTGCCAACCAGCCCCTCCTCTGGCCTACCATAAACACCAGAATTAAAATTCCATCACACCCCTTTTCAGAAACCTACAACATCTGCCACTCCATTTTTCAGAAGTTTTGTTACCACATCTCACTGCAAATAAAAACAGCTAATTTGGGGTATAAATATTCCCTTGCTTTCTCTCTCTCTCAAAATTATTATTTAGGACATAAATTACTGTTATCCATTAAAATGTTCTTGAACCTAAAATATATTACTAAAGAGGGACTTAGCTTTCAGAAAGACCTAAGCAAGGAAATAAGATACAAATTAACATTTCAATTAGTCATCTTTTAGCAAAAAAAAATCTCTCATCATACACAACTTTTAACCAACCTTTTTATTCAACCTTATAAATAGTTCTCTGTAGGAAGCTAATAGCGTCTTTCTGTGTGTAGATTGTATTTCTGGATTTCTCATCCTAGTCACCAAAATGTAGAATTTGTGAGAACTAATATCCAAATAGGAAACATTTGTATTAAAAATGGTTATCTGGTCTTAATAATAAACTGTAAGTAAACTATTTAAAACAGGTAGAATCTGATTCATCTGTAAAGTTAAGAAAATATTTAGGGCCGGCTGAGTGGCATGTTGGTTAAGAGTTGGCTTGGGACGCCAGCTCTGAGCAGCAGGGCCCCGGTTCAGATCCCACGTTAGGGCCAGTGATGCTGCTCCCTCTAGAGCTAAGATGGTAAACAACAGCTCAACCTGGAGCTGGGCTGCCATGAGTCAGCATAGGCTGCAGTGGAGGTGAAGTGGGCTCCCGTAAGCAGCCGGCAGCTGATGTGAGCTGCCAAGAGCTGCTGTGAGCAGCCATACAGTGGCCGGCAACCAATCTGCCTCACCCGAGAAGAGCGCAATGATAATACCAACATGGGTCAGTGAAACGACGTCCTCCATAACTAGACTGAAGAACAAATGGACAGCATCTTATCTGTTCCCCTTCCCCAATTCCCCAATAAAATCTTTTAAAAAAAGAAAATATTTATTTTCTTGTTGTTGACATGACCATGAGCGTATTCACCTCCTCTTTTCAACCTTTAACCCAGTGATCTAAAGGGATGCGTAGTCATTTTCTGTGTTTAAGAAGTTAGTTGGTATCTTCAGATTGTGATCCTAATGATGCTTATAATNTTTAGGTTTCCCCCATTCCTAAACTGAATTTTATCAGCATTCTTGGACCCCATTTGTAGGATCCCAAAGTACAAGTTAGGGAGTGAGGAGAAATGGGTTGTCACCAGCTAACCATGAGACCTTACGTGAGGCATACCACTTAGAGCTTAGAGACTGCTTATGGACCCATCTCTTCTAAGTTTTCAGAGTCAATACTCAAAGAGACCACAAGACCGAGGTAACTCCTTTATGTAAGTAAATCTTTTGCACTGCGATATAAGATAGAACATTTCCCAATGAACAGAAGGTAAGGCTAGAGTTTCTACATCAAAATGAGAGAAAAGAAGAATTTCACCAGTGCTTGGGCTTGCAAAATTTAGTTAACTATTAAACTACTTCAAAATTAATATTAGAAACTCCATAAGCTAAAATGTATTAACCATAATTCTACTGTTTCTTTTAAAAAAAACCACTTAATTCTTTAAATCTAGAAGACTCTAATATACATATAATTATCATAAAAGCAAGCACTGTTCATCCAAACATAAGATCTTTTCCTGTTGGCACTTTAGCAAAATCATATTGGCTTCCCTGTCATTTTCTTCCCTGCTTCTTCCTTTCTCTCCCTTAACTAGAGAGAAAATATAAATTGGCATCTTTATAAATTACACTGTTTAACGTTTAATTGAGTTTAATTGTTCCATTCTAATTTACAAAGCTAGTGAGTAGAATATTATATGAAGCATTTTTATTTCTCTGAAACTAATCTCTATGTTTGAATAAAATATGTTTTAAATAAAAAGGAAATAAAAAGGAAACCTATTTCCTTTTTATTTAAATGACTCCCTTCTGAGTTTTCCCTGCATCAGAAGAACTCCATG